ATACACGTCCAACACACACCCGATACACGTCTGACACACGCCCGATACACGTCTGACACACTTCCCACACACACCCGACACATGACCGATACACGTCCGACACACGTCCGACACACGCCCGATACATGTCTGCAGCCTACATGGCGCTGCATGACGTGGCACAGATCCGCCTGTCACATGTGCTCTTCGGCCCACCCGCCAGCGGCGGCCAGCAATTAATGCCTCCGACGCTGGCGGAGTCGTGACTGGGAGACCCAGTAACCGGCAGAGGGTACCATACTTACCTAACCATCCTCACCATCTCTCAGTGTATGAAGCTCATCCTAACATCCCCGGGATCAGGAACTCACCATAACATCCTCCGTAGCATGGAGGTCTCTTCAGCATTCTCTGGGATCAGGAGCTCACCTCACTATCTCCGTGGCATGGAGACCTCCTCAGCATTCTCCGGGACCAGCTCACCTCACCCTCCTCCGTGACATAGATATCTCATCGGCATTCTCCGGGATCGGGGGCTCACTTCATCCTCCTCCGTGGCGTGAAGATCTCATCGGCATTCTCTGGGATCAGGGGCTCTTCTCACCATCCCCCACGGCATGAAGATCTCCTTGGCATTCTCTGGGATCAGGAACGCACCCTGCCATCCTTTTGGGTGCGAACCTTACCGCAGCAGCGTCCAGGATCAGGAGCTCACACCACCATCCTTCTGGGTACACTGATTACCTTCCAGACTCGTGGACTCACCTCACCACCTCGGTGTGGCCGTTTCTGGCCGCCAGGTGGACGGGATACAGGCCCTCATTGTTGGCCACGTCCACCGTGCACCCGTACGTGCAGAGCGCCTGCACCGCCGCCAGCAGACCCTCGGCGCACGCGATGTGAATAGGCCTCTCTCCAACCTGTCGTGCAACACAGGCACAGTTCACACGAGTGGGGGCACAGATCTCCACGCACCCTCACCACGGGCTTAGCTGTTGGAATCCGGCGTGTCGGAGGAGAGGTGAGGGAGTACATACTCGCATTTCTCCCGAACAAAGTGCAGCGACGCCCTGGTAAAAAACGAACGTACGCCGGATATGCCTATTTAAAATTGATCCCATGGGTCATACCAGTCACAGACGGGTAATTTAGAGGCGAATGACATAAAAAGAACTCACGCCGAGATGAGCCAGTCGACAAACGCCACTGGCCTTCGACGCATTGGGTCAGGAAAGCACACACAGGGAAGAGTGCAGCGTACGTTAAGCAGATCTATCCGTCAGCGACCATCAGCGAACATTGACAATCCGGTGTATAGCTGCCCAGATCAAACACAGCCCACTAAGCTTGTGCGCCCTTCCCCCGCGCCACTCGTCACCAGCTCACGTGGTCGGCGACGTCGCAGCTGGCGCCGGCCTCCAGCAGGAGGTGCGCCAGCGGCTGGTGGCGCCGCCGGAGCGCCAAGTGGAGGGCGGTGGCGCCGGTAGAGTCGGGCGTGTCGCAGAGGGCGCCACTGTCCAGCAGACAGCGCACCACCGACAGATGACCGCGGGCCGCCGCGCAGTGCAGAGGCGTCTCCAGCTCCTGCCGAGTCAGGTCAGGTCACATTAGGTCAGACACCATGCCGTCGTCAGATCGGAGATCAGACGAGGGGTCAGATGACGCGTCCTGTCAGGGGAAGATTTGGTCAGTGTAAGGTCAAGGCTCAGGTCTGAAATCAAGTCAAGTCAAGTCAGGTTATATGAGGCGTCAAGTCTAAGTTAGGTCAAGGCTCAGGATGTCGTCAGTTCAAGGGACCAAGACTGGATGAAAGAACAGGAAGTATTGTTGAGGCTGGAGAGAGGCTCACGTCGGTAGCCAGGTCAGACGTTCTGGTCTAGAGCAGGTCAGATGTCAGGTCAGCGGCAGGCCAGAGGTCAGGTAACTAAATCAGGTAAGAGTCGGGTTATGGGTGGCCGACCTAGGACCTAGGTCTAGGAAAATGCGAAAGACAGGATGTCAACCATCTCATTAGATTCTTGGTCAATAACCACTGCTTGCGTGCGCCAGTGACCCTTGCCCGGGTGCGCAAATGACCCTTGCTCGTATGCACCAGTGACCACTGCTTGTGTGCGCCAGTGACCCTTTCCCGAGTGTGTCAGTAACCCTTGCTCGGATGCGCCAGCAACCCTTGCTCAGGTGCACCGGCGACCCATGCCCGGGTGCACCAGTGACCGTTGTTCAGGTGCGCCAGTGGTCTCTGTGTGCGCCAGTGACCCTTGCTCGAGTGTGCCAGTAACCCCTGCTCAGGTGCACCAGTAACCCTTGCTCAGGTGCACCGGTGACCCTTGCCCGGGTGCACCAGTGACCGTTACTCAGGTGCGCCAGTGGTCTCTGTGTACGCCAGTGGCCTCACCTGGTTGGCGATGTTGGGACTGGCGCCGGCGCGGCTCAGCAGACAGGCGATGCCCGGGAAGCCGTGCCACACGGCCGCGTGCAGAGCCGTCTCGCCATGCTGCCGGCAGGCCAGCGAGCTCAGATAGCGGCGGACGCACAGTACAGCTCACACAGCGGCGGACGCACAGCACAGCTTAGACAGCGGCGGACGCACAGCACAGCTCACACAGCGGCGGACGCAAAGGACAGCTCAGACAGCGGCGGACGCACAGTACAGCTCACACAGCGGCAGACACACAGCACAGCTCAGACAACGGCGGACGCAAAGGACAGCTCAGACAGCGGCGGACGCACAACACAGCTCAGGCAGTTTGCATTGGAATGCTCACCCCGGGTAAGAGGCACCCAGATGCGTACGCTAAGCCCAGTCAGACAGAGCAGACATGCAGTGTAAACAGACGAACATTCATACCAAGCCTACGTCCAGATCCCAGATACGGATGCTGGGATCGGATCACTGAGCCCTGAATCCCGGATCCTCCGAGGTTCAGGACTAAGGAACCATTTTGGAAGAGATGATGACCATTTTTGTAATAATGGATGACAATCGCTCTTTGCATACAATCCCCTGAATTTTGGTGACCTGGTAAGACTGTGGCTTGCTGTTTTAACAAAAATAAAACTAAAACACGTGAAGGACAGGCAAGCAGTTTTGAATTTGGTGCTGACAACTGTGTTGGCAATGGCATGCAGTCGAAAGATTACAAACATCTCTTTTTCTCTCCTTTCTCCTGGTTATTGGACGAACGATACGGCTACCAGTACTATTTTGTGATGTGTGTTGCTCCTCACAGCTATACCGAACAACGTAATTCATTTTAAAAAGCTTTATGATACTCAACGAATGTACATAACTTCGATAACGGAGCATACACGTAGATAAAAGCCACATTGAAAAAATCACATCTAAACACGTCTAAAACAGCACGGGCTCAATAAAAATGGTAATAACCGATTGTTCGGCGGTGATTTGGCTTAAGAAGCGATATTATCCCCCCCTCCCCCTTCTCCACCACCACACTCTTATTGTTCCAGAGATCAGCATCGACTGTGGCAGACAACACCACGAAATAATCAATCTAAGGCATATAGCGCCCTTACAAAGAGGGGCCTGGCTGCCATCTTGCCGAATTGTAAACTAAAAATACAGCGTTTATTGTTCGTTATGTGTCTGAATGGCACGTGCTTACGAAAAATCAAAATCATGCAACTTAATAGAAGGCATCCGTTTAATGGTGGCGACCAATGCCATATACCTCACTCCTTCACTTCGCAGATTGTTTTCAAAATGCAATGGTTTCAGTGCCCGCTGCGGAGGAGTATTTGCTGACGAACGGCCACTTATTGCAAAGTAATGTTGGACGTCTGCCTCTCATGCTGAAAAAATGCATCGTCACACTTTTGGAAAAACAATCGGTTTGAAGGTAGCAAACAGTTCAAGTCATGCTTAATTATCCCTCTGAAGCATGCCGCATAGGAAGTAAAAGTGAATGTTTTTGGTACGTCCATGTCTTACATAGGATCAACGACTTCCATAGGACTCCGCACTTTTATGTAGTAACCCTCATCGTGATAAGGGGGAGGGTGATGCGTCCCCCACAGTTTTTGAAGATATCTCTCCGGCATGTGCAATTGCGCCGAAATTTTCGGTATCCTTCGACACATTTCCTGCGTGTGTTTTGACACGAAAACGTTTCTTTATTAGTCTAACTTCTGAATAGTGATGTTTTTGTGGGAACAGCGCATGGCGATCACGGCCAACGCGGGCACCGGACGACAACTGACGGATCCGCCGTAGGTGCGCGGCGGCCGACGTAAGATGTAGTGTCACGTCAACAGATCCCTGCATCATGAATGTATGTTCAAAACATACACAACACGCACACACGCACGCCGTACGCACGCACGCACGCAAGCATTATTTATATATATATATATATATATATATATGTATATATATATATACATATATATATATATATATAATTACATGTATATATATAATTATATAATATATTTATGTATATAATTGCGCTCAAAATTAAACAAGAGCGTATGCCGCTAAGCTGTATTGTTGCGTAAAAATGGATATGTAAGGCCGGGAAAGTCGATTTTCAGGAATAATTTACATTTGGCCTTTCCTAGTCCGATAAAATCTGGGCCCAGGGCCATGATACTGGCCACCAACCGCAAGATCTCGCTCAGACCAATTCGTTAGATTTTCTGCGGACCTTTTTCTTTTTAAATTCGGTAACAGAGGAGGGTCACATCGACCCCCCCCCCCCCATCTCATCATAAGCGGTGAATCAGGGCGAAGGTTAACCGTCGCAATACGAAGACGAATCTGAAATCTCTCCTGGCTTGCAAACGTCGTTGCATGCAAATGTAAAGGTTATGTTTTAAAAAATCTGCTGGTACAGCTAACTCGCAAGGAACGACATGGCCAGGTAGCCATTGGCACCTGAGAACGTTGGTTTCAGGCTTGTTACATTGAGCACACGCCCATGTCGGGCTTCTGGTAATGAACCTGTCGTTTAGCTCAAGCGTCACCCTCTAGGCCTAACATTCCCTAGAAACCAAACAGCTGAAAGAACTGCTTCCGATTAGCTGCATGTAACCGTCAGAGACTTCGGCCAAGATTATAGAACAGTAGTTTGCGGGTGTGCTCGGTAATGCTGTATCGCCTGGCCGGTCGGGCCGCTGCCCGGCGCTTCCGCGCCCCTGAATGAGAGCGAAATCCTCACTCCCCACCGCCCAGATCGCAGCGGCGGCCGGTAGCCGGGCCTCCGTATTTACCGGGGAGCTCCAAACGGGACCAATGATCAATGAATTCGATAACTGTGATGCGAGTCTGGCGGTACATGCCACAAAGTAGTACACATGCAAGATAAGAACAAGTACAAGCGGAATACTTTCTCGCGTACCTACTAAAGATGCCGATTGGATTTCAAGTTTTGGATTTCCAAAAAATTACACAAGTCCAAGTTCGATTGGCAGGGCAAACGGGGCAATCAGCAGGGGCAAACATCGTTGGACATTTTTTGACAGACGATGTCCTTCTGCCGTGTCGCAAATTGGTGTGCATGTCAACTTATTTAATGCTGCTCGTTTTAAAAATAATTCGACTCTGGAACAAAACCAAGTCGTTGATAGAGCACACCAAAAATACCACTTTTTGAAACGTGAGGTAAAAGTTTCTATACTGAAGGGCATCGATAAAATGGGCTCGGTGTTCTTGATGCTGATGATGTCCTCAGAAGAGCCTGTGATACTCATTTCCTACCTAGTTACGATTTGTTACCACTCATCATCCAACTAAAGTGCTGTTGTCGAGCTTACTGATAGTCAAGCTGAGTAGACATCGATGTGTAAATTTTGAATTGTGGACGTTTCCACGAATGCCTGTGACACACACTGCTTACCCACGATAATTTTCTTTCACTTTTTTCATGCGAAGGGAGTGAAGTAATGCAGTGACGCGGGTAGCTGAGCTAGTGGCATTGGGTAGTAATTGGCTGCGAATAAAACAAAATGAGAATTTTTGGACAACCCGATTCTTTGGACACTTTTTGACGGACAGCAGGTTTATCCTCGGACTACGAATTGGACTTTGGAAACAGCTTTCACAAAACGGCACCTCACATTCCATTCCCGAGTATACTCTCATTCATCCAACAAAAGGCAAACACATCCTACATCCATTAAAACGCGTGCTCGCGTCCCGTGGCACGTAGAAACTTTCGCTTAAAGGTGGCAGAGAGGTATGAGTGGTTAAAAGCCCTCACCTAATGAGACAAGAGGTGTAGTCGACCGGAGCCCGGTAAATAAACCGTCATTTGTCACTGTTCTAACGCGCCATAAGCAGCCTGATGCGTGATTGGCGGGCCTATCTCTCTGTAGTGTTTATGTTTGTGCCGAGTATATTTGCCAATGCTGATGGTTGTCCCGTTCTGATAATCTTACGAAGAAAGGTCACGTTGTGGTAATAAGCCAGCCATGTCACTTTCAAGGCTGGGTTCTGGTTTATCAGGTCGGAAACATGGCCGAACTCTCGATGGCCTGGCATCACGATTGCGCAACAATTTGGAGTTGACTGGGCCTGTTTCAAGTTTGAATGGTTTGTGCTGCCGTACACAGATGTGTGTACTACATACTGCATGTATGCATGCGTGTATATATATATATATATATATATATATATATATATATATTATGGTAAGAGGAGTTTCGATATATTGCGTATCATTATCAGGACAAGTACGATGGTACCAGTTCAATCAAGTAACAGCTAAATATTAAAACATTCAACCGACATCGCTCGCAATGACAACGGTCACAGTTACACAAATGAACACGACCCCTCTGTGCATAAACAGGAGACTGAAAAATGAAAAATCACGCGATAACATATCCTGATTCCGAATGGAAAAGGCTGCCTTATAATTTGCGAAAGATATGCAGACCTCATTACATTTAATGGCAACCTTTGTTGGTGAATATGAAGTGATTTTAACATTTTAAATCCTAAGATATCCAGACCTGTCGCCCATCCGCGACCATCAAGTTGTGCGTGACCCTTACTTTGACATCAAACGCTTTTCCGTATTAAGGCGCTGCAGGATTCGCTTGATCTTAGGATTTAAAAATCACTTCATATTCACCAACAAACGCCACCATTGAATATCATGGGATCTGCATATCCTTTGCAAATTATAAGGTAGCCTTATATAATTATATCATTATATAGATTAATTATATTAATCATACACAATTATTATTATTATAAGGTAGCCTTATTAATTATAAGGTAACTCAAATCATAAGGAAGGCCTCTCTACATGGGTCTGCGTGCTAGGAGGTGGTTGTGGCAAATGCCCAAAGAACTGAATGTTACCTGTTTCAAGAAACAGTCGTAAATCCATTCTGGCAGTGCTAATTGAAATCTGAACCGAGCACTACCACAACGCTCACAGATACCGTGCCATATAATCCTGCGTCGAAGCTAATGACGCATACTAAAATTGGGAAGGAGATGATCTGGACTTTTCATATATGACATTCTTTCATAATTTGCCTGCGATCTGGTTACCAAGACAAAATCAGCGGTGTTCCAGCTTTCAAATTTTGCTCTCCAGATTTCCACAGCGATGCGTTGAAATGTTGTAAGACGCTTTAAGAGCTTCCATACAAATTTCATGCTGCCTTTTCAAAACAGACCGCATTGTTAAAACGATTCCAACATATTTCCGCTGAACATGCGGTTTTAAAACACCTCAGGTGATTTATAAGTAATGTTACGGTAAAGATACATCTCAGTGGAAATGTAACGTATGAGTATCTGATGTAGTATGCCGTGGTATATGGCAGAAATATCTGGGGGGTCACACTGGTGGACGCACATTTGTCACAACGGACTTGGCATTCAGCAAAGATTCCAGCTGTTGACGTGCTGCCCTCAGACTTTAAGCGCTACGCGTGATTTGAGGTGTTTGGTCAGGGCGGAAGCAAGCTCACGGATAAATAGTGTTTCCAGTGTGATGATGGCTAATTTGTCATGCCGTGGTTTAATCCCAGATTTACGCATTTGCACGGCATGAGATTCAGGTTTACATCCATGCCTGGCATTCCACATACGTTTGCGTCCGCATTGTCAAACAATGCAAACCACCATATCGGTCAAAGCACCGACCACGGCTGCGCCCGAATGATGTCATTTCGTGCCGTACTCACGTCATCCTGGGCATTCAGGGCGACCCCGTGCTGGCAGAGGAGCCGGACGGCGGGTAAGTGGCCGTACTTGCACGCCACCAGCAGCGGCGTCTCGCCAGCCTGCCGGAGGTGGGTCCCGTCAGGTCGCCAGTCCCTCCTAAGCGGTATCCGCGGTACACTCAGGCGTCAGGCGGTCCTATCGGCCCCGTCAGGTAACGGCTTCCGACTGTGGCGGCCGGCGTTGTCATCGGTCGTCTCATGCACGGTGGGTTTTGATGGCATAGCTACAAAATGAATGGTGCAGCCCGTGGTTGACCATCTCCGCTTCTCCGCCGTTATCGTTGCAAGGCAGCAACTTTCCTGAGACTTCTTGGCATCCTACATCATCTGAACTGGGCGTAACATGCCGGCCGTGGTATGGTTTCACAATAGAAGCTGGGGTTAGTGGACTCGGCGGGGAAAATGGCTAAGCCTACCTACTGCACCAAGCACGTGACTTCCCCGGAGTAGACCCTCTTTCCTCTGAAAGTTGGTAAGAGTGAGGGGGGGGGGGCTGGAACTACCCAACTGAATGGGGAACTATACTTCTGATGCGGGCATATTTGTAATTCATCTATTTTTAAAAGTGTCCAGGGGAGGTGAGCTAAGCCGGTAAGAGTCTTCAAAACGTAAATCCAGCGACCCAGCACCTGAGATCAACAACAATCAAATTGTACTATGATGGCCGCATTATAACTACTGCGATAAGTTGACATCTGTAGTACACATATTGAAATACTGTTAACACACGCAGACTACCTAGCCTAACGCACCACCGCGCCACGCTAGCGGCATTTGGTACATGTGGCTGTTACGTGTGTCTCTCACGCTTTACTAAATGCCCCCCCCCCCCCCCGCCCCGGAATCGACGTAAGGTTCCACCGCGCGAGTTTAAGCTTAGCTTAGAGAGCTTAGGCATCAATGCATATTCACCAAGCCCGAGGAAAATTATCTAAAACTCGTGAAACAGACGAGTCTTAAATCATCATGGCCCAGTTTTCAATCGTTTTCATTAATCCTGAGACCCTCCATGACTCAACTTAATGTAGGCCTTTAAGTACCAGTTCCTGTGCGTTCACTGACTTGACACCGGGTAACCATCCTGCGAATGCACGCGAATAAATGAACGTTTCCATCCATGATCCACAGGTACATAATCCCATCCCGGCAAAACATACACAGGCTTCGTACAACTTGTCTTAGTCTTTGTTCAGTACGTTCCCATTGAAATGCATCATTTCATTAGCTGGGCTTCGAGGGCCCAAAGTGAGCTTCTTGACCAAATCGGTACCATTTTAAACATTTAGTCCAAGTTTGTGATTGGAAGGATTTCCGGGACCAGCACTCCTGCTAAGTAGTAGCTGTTGCATGAGCCCTGGCCTATCATTCCATCTTAAAATTCCGGGCAAAAGGCGGCAAAATCTTGTGCTAACTAACTAGCTAACGTTCCAGAATGCTCGACACGGTCCGTCTTGGCCTCTGACGTCATCTGGCCCTCAGCGCAGCCGCCACCACCGTCCGCAGGCCATCCCAGCCAGAGAAAAAATAGCAAGTGACTAAAGGGACTCGAACCCATCACACTACGGCTGGGTGAATCGGGGTGGGGGTGGGGTGGGGGCGGGGGTAAATCAGGCAGGGTGAATCTGGACATGCCTTATTTTTGCTGTCGATGCTGGCGCCCTCTCCAAGTAGGTAAGCCAACACGCCCGGGTGGCCGTGGCGGGCCGCCCAGATAGCAGCACTGTCTCCGCGCTCGTCCTCTCGGGCTAGGTCGGCTCCCTTCGTGCGCAGCACTCGCAGAACCTCCAGCTGACCCAGGCCGGCGGCCACGTGAACTGATGTTTCGCCTTGCTGTTGACAGATGGCACCGACCCATCGAATCTCATCCACGCAACCCAATGCTGAGAGAGTATTCAGTGTGTTGTTCGCAGATGGCATCATTCATCCAGTAACTTCGACGCAGCTCAGTGCTGAGTGAACGATCGCAGCGAGTCCCTAGAGACACGCGGGATCTCATCATGCACGCACAACATGATCCAACTTTTGAGCGACGTCTCGGAATGATCTGAATGTAGCAACAGGACGGTTCGCTAAGCGTTTGTTAGCTAAACAAAAGTAGGCATGTGCGCAGCTGTCCAAGTGGGAATGATTTTGAATCGAACCGCCTCGCCGAGAGACCTAGTCAATTTCCGAAATTTCCCAGCATGCCAATTGTTCCGTCTGAGCCACAACTAAAAACCGCTGAGCACACTTACCCGGTTAGCCAGGTTCGGGTCTATCTTGGCCATGGAAAACAGTCGCTTGATGCCCGCGATGTTACCCTCCTCGGCAGCGCAGAACAGAGCAGACACAATGAAGTTTTCGTCCTGCCGAAAGTGGCGTCCAGCAATCTACTACATGGTTGCCCATGCACGATAATACACGCGGTAATTAGTTGCAAAGTCATGCACAATGCACTGGAAGCGGTTATCACGTGACGTCGTTTGCGTGGCGTGAGAGCGGGGCCGCCGAGCTTGAGAAGGAAATGGAACAGCTGGAGAGCGACGGTCGACGCGTCGTATTTCTACGACCATCCTGTATGGCACCACACTCCATCTTCGCAACGTTGAATAATGAGAGGAAAGGTCTGGGGAAATCACAGAGCAGAACAGACCAGCCGCCCAGAACTGTACTGAACTGGGCTGGGCTGGGCTGGGCTGGGCTGGGCCCTGAAGCCAAGTTTCGTGATGACTGCACCATGCAAATGTTGCGCACGCGCATCGGCTGGACAGTACACCGTGTCGGTTACCTCCCTTTGTCCTCATCTAAAGAAGGCTCTGAGCAGGACTCGCGCTTACTGGACAAGGAGTGGGCTGAGCTTGGCACACTCGAGGCCCCGGTGGGCCGCACCCACCGGAGCGGTGGGCAGGCTCAGTGGCGGTCGGTGGTGACGAGCGTGACACTGACCTGGTACGCGGTCACGGCCAGGTCGCTGACGGACTCCCGGGTCTGCTCCCCCCGCTGGTCCAGTAGCTCAAGGCTCTGGCTCCGGCTGCGCAGTTTGGCGCTCCTCGACAGACGGTTGCACAGGGTCACCACTCGCATGGAGTGCTGCATGGGGGGCACGACAGGGCTGCGTCAGTGGCTCTGCGACTGGAGGGCACACGAGTTATGGCTCTCGGACACATTCACGGTCGAGAATAGGCGGCTGCATTTGGCAGCTTGCTGATACTGTAATGCTGCTACGCTATGCCATAGTAACGGTATAAACAACTTTCCATGTCACCATATCAATAAGGTTCGGCTCCACTGAAGAATATGGTGGGGCCACTTGTACTTTGTTGGAATGTCACGTTTAAGCACATGGAGTAGGTTAATTACGTGAAGCATAACTTTTCACCCTCCAGTTTTTCGGTGTCCCCAGTTAAGTCAATGAGGCACGCTCCACACGACGCACCTGGTATTGAGATACAGCTTGACTTAGAGGCATTTCATGGCCAGGCCCGTTGATAGTTTCTCAATTTAAGTATGTCAGAAATGTTTTTGCCAACATCATGCAGCGTCTCTGTTCTAATTTCACCTGCAGTTGACTTAACCTTATTGTCCTTTCAGTCGCGAAGGTCGACATTCTGGGAGTGCACTACAGCACGTGCCACAAGGCCAACCCTGGTCGCCGCCGTATTGGGAGGACCTCTGTGCGCGCCGACAGCGTCCCGACGGCCAAATCCGGTCCCAATTTTTATACAACTATAAGCATCAGCAGTCGTGGCTAACTAATACCCCATGCGCTGTTGGGCCAATGACCTACGTATTCAGATTCATATTCACCTTACCAGTAGCGCTAATAAGGGCGCATCCAAAGGCACCGTGGGCCTGGCCTCCAAGCGACTAACAAATGTGTACGTGTGTGCCAAGGCCGCGTTCGCAGCACGAAAAATAGTAGCCCCGCGCACATAAAATCCACAGATGACCCCACCTGTGTTGTGGGTGTTCGCCTTTACACTCGGGAAACTTGGGTGAGGCATCCATATTTGTACACATTGGCAGCGCCAAGATGTCTTTTACGCCGTGGAACGAGGTAGGTGATTACAGGCGTAATTGTTACCGCGGGGAGATAACAAAAAACTACAGCGATTGGAGCCCGTCACCCTCAGGAACCGAGGGCTATGTTTGGCGCAAGCAGCGCGTGATAGTCCGCACACACACCTACGCCATCGTTGGCAGCACGACTGTCCGTTCTCTTTGGCGACGGTATTAGCTATCCTTGTGTCGCAGCGACACCTCGTCGCCGAGGTCTCAACTCGAGTTCCGCTTTTTTGAGATTTAAACATTTCACACTTCCATGTTAGCCGAATGGAGACGAAAAATAGTGGTGATCATGCAGCGACAGTTGTAGAAATATGCCGTCTGGTCAACCAGCTTACTTTCCACTGGCTTGAACATGCCCCACCGCAGCCTTTAAAGAGCTATGCTCATTGGTGCTGAAAACTTTCACGGCAGTACGACCGATGGTTGCAAAGATGGGAGGGGGGGGGGGGGAGGGGCGCTAAAGTTACACAATTTGCGGTTGGCTGACGTAGACTTCCCTGGCTTGTGGACCAGCTCGCAATACATTTGTTTACTACTGCATAATGATAACAAAAGGGTAGGCTAAAAGTAAATGGGGGGGGGGGGGGAGACGCATATAAGCCTCGAATACCGATCGCCAAAGTCATGAGGATTTTTAACGCAGTTTTTATCGTACATGAAACGCAACATCTCATTTTCACGTATCTCTAAACGCTAGGTTGATTACAATAATATCTGAAAAGGACTCACAGGGCAGCATGCTAATGCATATAATAAGTGCACAGAGCATATAACAAGTGAGCGTATTCCTTCATACTTGGCTGCAGTTCAAGCCAGAAGCATCTCGCAGAACCCAAGTTACTCTGGGTATCCCACTCCTCACACGGTCCAGGCACTCCCCCACACCTACCCCCCCCCCCCCATTTTCCCCACACCCACCCGCACGCACACGCCATATTACAGTTAAAACTTGTTCGCCCCTCTAGAGTCATCTGGTGAGTCAACTTGCCTTCCAGCGGCGGCGCGCCTGGTATGTCTTCAGGTTGTCGATGTTCACCGTCTTCTCCAGCTGTTCCGTATGCTCCGCCTCACTCGCTGGCTAAAATTGCACAAAACTGTCAGATCCTGGTGGGTAATGTATGCATGGCGAGTGACCCGATCACCACTGCATTTTTGTAACATGGGCTTCGGGAGAAAGCCGCTAACTGTGGGTCCGAAAAGTGATGACGATGGTCAAGGTTTAAACACTGGGTCCGAGCGATGCTGAATGGGTCTTTCGGTGACCAGACTGTGAAGCACTAAGGTGGGCAGTTAGAACATGATGCTTCCGCGGCAGACCACAAGGCGTCTTGTCCGTTGCAGGTTATCACACGGATTCACAGCGATGCAGCACCGCCCGTCAGGCAACCATCAGTTTTGTACCATTAACACGCGCTCGGGTGGGGGTCAATTTAATTCTCTCCAGAGGTTTTCCTCGAATGGTTTCCAAACGGTTTAGCCGCGCCCAATTTGGTATGGCTATAGGCAATTGAACAGCAGATCGTTTGGTGTTGCAAAAATAGATGTACCTTGTCAAGTAGTTGACCCACGGTAGTCAAAGTCAGGCCATGGATGCATTGAAGACAATTTCTAGGGAATTATTCAATATGATGCAACAGCGGAATATTAGACAATGCCATACATCTCTGAGAAAGTTTTTCAGGCAATGCAACAATTTAATAAACCAGTTCCATTCACCCCAGATCAGGTACAAAAGTCCGACCAAGATCAAAACCAACCTGTGTTAGTGCTCTATAGCTTGCAGTATGGGATGGCTTCTGGTGCTCATTTGGAATTATTGATATCAGGACCGTATTTTAACCTCCCATAGACTGCTTCAAGGACATAATAGGTGACATACCTAAAATGACCCAGGTTAGCATTTTGTTTTTAGGAATATACTGCCTACCGCAATCTTTAACGTTCATTGAAATGCAAAACTCAAAACAGCCTTATTTGGTTTTGGTCACCATAGCTTTCGAAAGTTCAAACAAGGTCATCGACCTCAAATAAGCACCAGTGACTTTTTGCTTAGAACAAATATCTAGGTTCTGGAGGCACTTTGGACACCAAGGTGGAGTTTGACATTGTTTGACTTTATTTGACCCGAAGGTGATTACCTAGGAACCCTAAATGTTGACACAAATGAGCTCACGTACAAGCCAGCACAACTTTTGAATTTGGTGTCTCTAGCTCCCTTAGTTTTTGATATCTCTAGAGGGGGCCAAACTGAATCCCCCACCCGAGCGAGGATTCAACCGGCCACCTGGGCGCGTGTTAGGGCTTGGAAACTGCACTTTTCTTGGTTGGAGATCATATCAGCCGCTTAGAATATTTCAGATGCTTCAGCAGTGACGCAAAACAGTGAAGTGAAAGCCTTTGATCTTCCCACGAAGCTTCCTTAACACTTGTCTTCCAAACACAGAGAAGGCTCGGTTGACACGGGAATTAACATCGCCTATGAATCACCCAATCATGTGGTTTTTCAGAGACAGAGGACAGGAGGACGGGGGATTAGACAGATTAGGCTCTATAGAGCTCCAGATGCCACAGAATCACTGCAGCCTTCAGAGCCTCTCGCAACCCTTGGCTTCCCGACGCCGTGTAGGGCAGCGCACACGTGCGGACAGATACAGAGACCGCGTGATGTGATTAGCTGAGCACATTATGCTCGTGGATCCTTCAGTATCGGCATGCATTAGAAGCCGGATCCGATCACACGGAGGTCCATCACAAAGGAGGCCCATCACAAAGGAGGCCCATCACACGGAGGCCCATCACAAAGGTCCGATTCAGGAGACTATGTTCGCGTTGATGAACGTACACGTTGGTGAGACAATCACAAGAATGCACACACCTGGATCCAAGGGTGGTCCAGGCACTCTCGCACGGTAGCTCGACGCCTGTCAAAAAAACCGTGGATCAGACATTCAAGCCGACCCCATTCGTAGTGATCGTTGAACGTTGCCCTATCGCCTCCAGCCACTTTCTGGTTCCATGCACAGCAATAGCCGTAACCAATTCACGAAGTTCTCGATGACAGTCCAGTGCTCACAAAGAGCAGCGGCAAGCAGAATCATGCCGATTCGCCTACACGGCAGCCATTTTGGAACGGCCACAGCCGCAGTCATCACCTGCTGAAAGGGCAGCTAACGGCACCCAGCAACCAGCGGATTACCTGGGGTCTGTCACGAACAGACGCGATATGAAGTCCTTGGCCGACTCCGACGTGCCGCTGAAGTACTCGTCGTCGAAGCAGTAGTCACAAGCGACGATGTTGGCGAACGTCTCCTGTTGGGTGTCTCCCAGAAACGGAGACGCCCCGGAGAGTCTGCTCAAGAGACAGATTGATACTCAAGACGCGGACGTGTACGCCCCGGCGGCCCTCCAAAAGACGCATCTTTGTCAGAGGCTGGCTGGCCGGCAGCAGCTGATATCGTTCAAGAAGGATAGGAAATCGCACCTGTCATTAAAGCACAGTATCATCCAACGCTAAAAATCGCAAATGAAGATGGATGCCACTCTCACAAGTTCTGCTCTATTTTGACATTGCCATGGCGGTCATGAACTAATGCCATACTGGGCGTTTTGCCCGGGGTAAATAGTTTCAGTCGATCTAATTTCTCACAGTAAAGACCATTGAATATCCGTGAGTACCTCTGCAACCTCGTTTTGTGAACGTAAAACGTCTACACATAATAGCCATGCGACGATATTGCGACCCAGGACAGCCTCAGCAGACGTCAGGCGGCTGGCTGCTCACAGGATGTACGTGATGACACCCAGCGCCCACAGGTCGCAGGCCAGGCCCAGCGGCTCGTAATTCACGATCTCCGGCGCCACGAACTCAGGCGTGCCTGCAGCAGAAGAACGACAGCTCAGTCGTCAGGGAAGCCCACAGGTGATTTGTACTGGGATTGACAGCCGCTCGTGTAAACATGGCTTTTAGGCTTGTCGTTAAGGCATGTAGAAATAAATCCATTCAGTGAGCATCAGTTTTTACAAGCGAACATCCCTTTAAAATACTGCTCATGCGCGATAAGCGCACCAGTGACATAAACACAATATTTGGGTCAGTCGTTGTCATACACTGATTAAGCAACGTCACAAAAATCACTCCACCTTTACCACGTTATGCATGCTAATCTTAATATATCTTTATGATTATATATATATATATATATATATATATATATATTAGTTAGACAGTCAGATATTGCTTTTGGGAATGGATTTACGATGAATCCAAAACGTTCAGCAACGAATATATTTGAAGACAATGCGTGTCTCTCGGTGAACAAATATTTAATATAACGATATATATATATATATATATATATATATATATATATATATAATTACAAGCAGTTGGTATTAACGACCTTAAGATGTCATCACCTTAAAGTTCAACAAGAAAAGCTAAGATCAAATTTGAGAGCCGCCAATCCCAGATTTATCGCCAAATTTACCCGTGTACAATCCCGAAGAGCAGCAGGCATCGTACCGCGTCTATGGTAAACCCCATCTGTATTTCAAAGCGTGAGCGCACTCAGTGCAAAAGGCGGTGGCTGACTACGCGGCCACCACTCGACACCATTCCATCGGCACTACGTGTGCACCACTCGACACCACTCCATCGGCACTGACGCCGCCCAGCGCCGATAAGACTCAGCGGGCGGGCCGTTACCGAGCATATGACGCTCTTCTTTGTTCGGGTCGATTTTCCGGCTGAGACCGAAGTCGATGAGCTTCAGCTGCGCCCGGTTCTTGCTCAGCAGCATGACGTTCTCCGGCTGAAAAGAGACCGGTGAGACCCTCGCCGCTCGGCAGTGCCGCGCACCGCGGCAGCACGAACCGCCGCTCGGGAGTGCCGTGCACCGCGGCAGCACGAACCGCCGCTCGGGAGTGCCGTGCACCGCGGCAGCACGAACCGCCGCTCGGGAGTGCCGTGCACCGCGGCAGCACGAACCGCCGCTCGGCAGTGCCGTGCACCGCGGCAGCACGAACCGCCGCTCGGGAGTGCCGTGCACCGCGGCAGCACGAACCGCCGCTCGGGAGTGCCGTGCACCGCGGCAGCACAAACCGCCGCTCGGGAGTGCCGTGCACCGCGGCAGCACGAACCAGCTCACAAGAATAACCTGCACTAAAAGCATTCACGGCGAAACGGAACTAGATCCGTGTGGACGCCATGCATCCGCATCCGGTTGTGATGACGCGCTCGCCGGGGCGACTTTCACAGGGGGACGAAGTGTGCAGGGCTGCGGCGTATGTCAGTGTTTGCCAATGGACACATGGCAATGCTTTAACCCCAACATAACGTGACTAACACCATCCCATGACCGCTGCTCATATAACAGCAGGTATTTAGCAATAATTGCCCTCTCGCACTCGTTGGGCTTTAAACGGATCATATCAGAGTTGAAGGGAAGTGACACGCAACGCCGAACGCCGTAAAAAGTTATCGGTGCATCGCCACTCAACCCTGGTCCGACCGGTTTGTTTGTGAAAGCTGATATACGAGGAAAGCCTCCGTCATGCATGCCTCTGAGCCGTGCCGGGCGCCGCTAAGCTGGTAAATCAACAACTGTCTCATGAGCTTCGGGAAGCGCTAAGCGTCAGCAGGTCTCTCAGATTCCACGGGACGTTTCGGAGCACTTAATCAACACCGCAAGGTAGTTAGCCGTCACTACGGCCGCTACCTGTTATAGAAACTGGTAACCAGGACGAGACATTACTGTTATGTATTTCTTCATTACCTCATTATATGTTTACTTTATTTATACATTGTTCTTTCATTTTATTATTTTCATGTTTTATTGTTTCATTCCTTTATCATTTAATCATATGCATTATTCTTATTATTATCATCGCGACACGAGTATCCAGGACGAAACATAGTTACCTTAGGCTGGATGCCCAGTGGGCGGAGGCAGGAAGAGAGCGGGGTGGGGTGGCAGGGTGTCGGTCTTCCTTCCCCCCCCCCCCCCCCCACCCTCCCCCACCTTTTTATAATGTTTAACTTTAGACCTGTCACAATGCTTTTTAGAAATCGACTTCAAAATCGGTATTGCCAGTACCTCCTGAGACGATCCCATCCATGTGCTAGCAGCGCCACTCCACGTGCGCTACCCCGCGCCACTCCGAGTTACCTTCAGGTCGAGGTGTGCGATCGATTTGGAGTGCATGTGCTCCAGTCCCAGAAGGATCTGCTTGATGAACAGGGCGGCCTCTGCCTCGCTGACGTGGTCCTTGTCCGTGACGAACTCGAACAGCTCCCCGCCGCGCACCCTGGAACACGGCAGCGCTGACCCGGTCAGCGGCCGACCCCGGGCAGCCGGAGCGAGGCGCGGCCGGCGCCTGCCTACACGGGCGCCGGTAGATGCCGTACCAAGCGGCTGGGCTCGCGGCACGACCGACGGCAGGCCCCGGTGTGGCGGTGGGCGGGACACTACCGGACCGGCTCGGTACCACACCGTTCGGACCGGTGATAAGAAGCGGGTTGGAGAGCGGTTGCGTGCTCACGAATTGTGACTAGGTATCACTGCATCCCCCCCCCCCCCTCGTTCTTCACTACAAGCGATTGAGCCGAGATGAAAGTAATTTCTCCAAGAGATCATGTTTCATTCGATTACAGGAAATGCTTCACATTTGAAAATACTGAATCAAGCATCATGTATGACGAATTAAACTCACCTATAAGCATCAAATATGCTTCTCAATACGCCATTGCTTGATAACGTCATTATACCTTGCACAACATTCATTGATGGCCAACTGACGGCCATTGTATCTGGAAATCGTGCTCACAACGCTGGATATGAACGATTCGACAATTACATTTTTCTTGACTTTGATCCCCGCACAGCTAATAAAATGGCAATGTTTCAGTAACGTTATCATGGCGTCATGGATTCCTGAGTAACCTTGAGATAGTCTCCCCGAAATAGTATGCACATCTTCGCCGGCGTATAGCTCAGAAACTAGAACAAGTTAGGTCTTCTGAAGGGCTGAACTGTGAACTGCACCAAATGGTCTTCAGGATGATAAGTTCAGTTCAAAACCCCATGCAAATGTGGAGAAATCCTTTTCGGAAGTCATTTGGTGGATTTGTTCAACGCAGCGTTAATTTGCTTTCATGCGGCGTGAACATTCATAACACACAGTTTTCCACGGTCCTACAAGACCCACTCAAGTTCGTTTTTCAAGCATGTCGTACCTAGATTAAATGTCTGACACCAGTTTAAAGCTTGCGGTTCCCGTCGGCTTGCGGTTCCCGTGGGCCGGACGGCCTCCGGGCGGACGCCGCCCTCCCGTCCGGCGGCGGGGCGGGGCGGCTGTGGCACGCCCGGGCCTCAGCCCCACAGGCCACCGGAAGCGGCACGTGTCGGCGGCGGCCGCTCTCACGTGCGGAATGCCGGGTCGCCCGGCGGTGTCAGCCGCCGCGGCGCCGGACCACGAGCCGCCCCGGGTCGCCAGCTCCGGGGGCGGCGTCGTCCGACCGGCGGGCACATGAACCGCCGGCTCACCTGCACCCGTTCACTGGCACCTTCCCGCCCGGCCAGGCTCTTTTCCCACACAGAAACAACGAGTCATTTGACAACACTCGCTGAGTGTATTTTAACCAGGGTTCCGGCTGGTGCACCAGGCCTGTCTGCAGGCCACGTGACGACGCACCAGGGAGTACTGTATGCCAGTGTCGGGTCCACGGCTTGAGGGTAAGATGAGCGTGATTTACATCGCTCGACGGACTGTGTGCTGCCTAGCGTTGGGCCGAAGACGACACGTGCCTCCGTCTGTGGCTGAGGACCACATATCACCTGGCGTAGCCAAGAAGTGACGTTGGCTACGTGCGACCAAGCGCCGGCTCAGGCGGGGCCACGCGCTGGACGGGCGGGGCCTAGAGGCCTGTATAACCCAGAGGGCTTTGTTCAAAACTGTGTGCCGGCGGAGCTGACGCCGGCTTTGGAGCTACGTTGTGGTGACAGTGACATGCCACTGCCTCAGAAAACAACAATCGTCATTCATATAATCGATTTACTTTACAGTCAACGTGTGCGCTATACAATTCACAGCGGGCTTTGTTAATACAATGTACGCTCCAGCACGTAAAAAAAATGGTTTGTGAATCACTGATGGCATCGTTATTGAGCTTAGCGGATGACGTAACTATTGCCATAGCTGAGTTTTACTCAGGCCTGAACCCATGTTTTCAGCACCCCCAGTTTGCCCCCAATCCTGTACCGCCTTCTGCACGGTTACACAGGGCTAACACGGAAGTCAGCTACAGGTCAGGCCGGTAACGAGCCGATCCTGTTCCTGCAGCCGCCCGAGCTCCCATTAAGGCTCACGCGTAGCGCAACAGCGGCAACAAGCAGGAGCGGTTCTCCGTCTGCTCCGCTGGCTGCCCCGATCGCCTGATGTGTGCGCATACAAATGTAGGTCAAATGTGATGTTGCTATCGTCTTAGTGCAGCCTCAGTTCAGGTTGTATGAGTTTAAGGAAATGTTCAAGGCTTGTATGGAGCTTTGAACTGAAGAAACCATTTTGAAGACCATTCGGTGCAGTTTTATTCGCATTAGGTCACAGTCATGCCGTTCCCAAAGGGAATACCCCACATTTGAAGATATTGAGGCAACATCAGATGTGATGATATATACTCACCTATAACCATCCGTATACTTAACAGTGGAAAAGGCTCCTCCGGATAGCAACATTTTTCTTTTCAGTGAATGTGCTCCTAAATACGTCATTGTTTTATTTTATCATTGCACCTCGCACAACATCGATTGAGATCCCATAGAGGACTAGTTTATCTGGAAATCGTGCTCACAAACGTCAGATATGAACGAATCGACAATTTTCTTTTCATTTGCCTTGATCACCGCACCGCCAGTGAAGCGACAAGATTTGAGTGAAGATATTTTGGCGTCATGGATGCCTGATTGACCTTGAAATAGTTCCGCACGAAATAGCCTGCACATCTTCACGGGTGTGTAGTTCAGAAGCTAAAGGGGTTTAGGTCTTCACAAGGGCAGAGGTTTCAGTTCAAAACCCCATACAAATGAGGACGACTACCTGCAAGACCTAACACCCTCAACCCTCTGAGCTTCACGCTCGTGAAGATGTGGAGACTTTTCCGTACACATCGTCTCAAGGCCACTCAGGCATGCATGACTGCCATAGTAACGCCATTCAAATCCTACTACCGTGCAGGGTCATGCGGTGTTCAAAGGCCAGGAAGAATGTCCATTGTCAAGTCGTTCAGATCTGGCGTTCTTGATTACGATGTATAAATACATTGAACGTCAACTGGCTCTCAAGCAATGCTGAGCAAGCTGTGCAAGATTTCATAACCAATCAAATTTTGTGCCACATCATGAAAGAACTTGGACATAGTTTCTTCACCTACTAGTTGTTACAGAAATCATGCTTGCAGTTGAATAACTTAGAGGGAGGATTATACATTTGTATCGGGTTTTGAACTGACATGGCCATCTTGAAGATCATTCGGTGCAGTTCACAGTCTTGCCCCTTCCTTAAGACCTAAACCCCTCTCTACACCATACTAACATCATTCAAGGCATCCCACTCCATGTTACAAGCCACAATCACGGCCATTAAAAAATATGTGTCGAGTCGTTCAGTATTTGGCGTTCGTCGAGCACGATTTCCAGATATACCGGCCCCCCATTGTCTGTCAGTCAATGTGTTGCAAAATGCGATGGACGCAATCGAACAAAGACGTATCGAGGACCATATTTACTTAACAGAGAACTTGTTTCATCAGCCCATTTTTCTGCGCTTAAAGGTATATAAATAGTGAACTTGTTTTTATATTTAACATGTGGAGCATTCCCTTTAAGATAGCGCCATAACCATTATGTGAATGTAAGTGAGCTTCTTAAATTGGCCTGACCGATACACAGGACCGCCAGGAGAAAGGGCCAAAACACGAGCGCAAAACGATAATTCGCTCATCGAATACTTCCAACACACACTGCCATCTCTCGGTAGGTTTGAAGTGCCACACGTGAGTTCAAGGACGGCAATTTCATACAGCTAGTTTGGCAGCATTTCAGCGTCATATAAACGTTCCATGACACAATCAAGCAATGACGTATCGAGGAGAAAAGTTTTAAGGAGCGAAATGTGTTGTCCAAAGCTGTCTTTTCCCCTAAATTAGATTTGAAGTTTTGGGTTCACGCAGCTTTCCAAATGAAGTTTCCCAAGGTATGGAACCATCAAACTCAACAAGTATGGCGGTAGATAGCTCCTGCAGATGTAAAAGCAGAGTGTGCTGCTGGCCGTCGATTACAATGCCACCAACAAATATAAAAACGAAAACAACCCAAATGGTGGCTACTACAAATACTGCTCCCAGCCTTTACCACCAATCCCACTCTGTCAGCAGCGCATCTGCAGGTAATCGACCAGTTCTGTGGATCAACCCAGCGGCAAGACACGGAACGCCAGCCCGGGAGCGCGCTGGGTGACCAGGCGACCCCAGAGTGCGCCGGGTGACACGGAACGCTGACCCCGGAGCGCGCTGGGTGACCAGGCGACCCCAGAGTGCGCCGGGTGACACGGAACGCTGACCCCGGAGCGCGCTGGCTGACCGGGCGACCCCAGTGTGCGCCGGGTGACACGGAACGCTGACCCCGGAGCGCGCCGGCTGACCGCGCGATCACGGAGCGCGCCGGTGGCCGGGCGACCCCGGCGGATCACGGGGGCCGCTCACCCGCCAGCGTCGCGCCGCGCCGGCATCGCCCGCGGCCGGTTGCACGACCCCATCACGGAGAAGCGGCGCTGCCACCGCGGCGGTCGCAGCCTTGCAAGGCCGTCGGGTCTGCACGCGGCGCGCGCTGCAGAAAGCAGGCGGGGCGGGGCGGGGCGGGCCGGAGCGGAAGCAGAGGCAGAGGCGGCGGCGCGGCCAGGGGCCGGCCGGCAGCGGTCGTTGGACCCGGCGTGAGCGGCTGGCGGTCGGCCACGACTGACTCGGGCGGCCGAGCTGACCCGCTCGACTGACTCGGGCGGCCGATCTGACCCGCTCGACTGACTGACCCGCTCCGAGACGTGGACACGACGCACGGGAGGCGTCACGGCTTCCATCAGCGCGCGCCAGGGGCAGACCTTCGAGCCGATGCGTCATCGCTAATTACCCTTTCCCTCGTACAGAGGACGGGGTTATATCGAACACTTTCCTGTTCTAGGGTTCTGGGGATCAAAGGAGAAGGGCCAATGTGACCAAATTTGGGAAGGTCAGCAGGGGATCAGTAAGGGTCATCAAC